TTTATTCACAATTCTCTCCAAGCAATAAATAATAGACGATTTTAAAATAAAGATGCTTCCAGTAGTTATTTGATTTTGCTTATTTTTTTATTTACATTGACATTTTTTTCTTTCAATTTTATATGACTTTCTACCGTACATTATTTTTCATTTTTTTTTTTTATTTTTGTATTTTTATAGTTTTTTATCTTCTTCCTTCAAAATATTTTATTCATGTGATGCTTCAGTATCAGTCCTGCCTTGCCCTCAAATCTATAGAAAACACCTCAACATGATGCCAATTTTAAACTTTCACCCTCCAAAAGTCATATTTAAATAATTTTAAAATTCTCTCTTAAGGAGGCGTCTGGGTTTTTTACACATTAACGCAACAGTGATTTAAATATTCTATTTAGGTTTGAAATTATATTTTATTGTTTTGTTGGTGTATTTATTATTTTTCGTTCATTTAATTTACTTCGCATTTTTTCTTTCTTTCTTTCTTTCTTTCTTTCTTTCTTTTTATTATGTTTTTTTTCTTTTATTTCTTTAATATTTTCCAAATCTCTCATTCTTACGTTCAACATACTCAGTTTTTTAAGGCATAATGAATGTATCGTCTATATCAAGATTTATTTCTACTTAAAAAAACCCAAACGCCTCCATATTTTATGTTAGTTTCTTCATTACACCTAAAAAAGGTTGAATTTGCAACTAAGTCTAGGCAGAATATTTCAGATCTTGAAAGCAACGCTGATGCTGAATCATCCATTGTATTCAAAAAATCCTCTGGAATTACATTTAAAAGTAAAATTACTATTGGAAGTATCCTTACTTTTAACTAATTTTATACAATCGAATGTTTAAAGAAAAGCAGATAAAATTTGCAACGATGTTATTTTAATGCAATTGTCACCCAGGATCAACATAAAGCCTCCACATTTCGCTTCACACTATTAACCATTAACTCATATTGTATCTTGTCTCCAATGCAATAACAAGAAAAAGTAGACATTTTCATAGATAAAAGATGTAAGCTTGGCAACGCTGTATTGCCCAAAATTATCGTATACTGATTAAATCTATGCTATATACGTCTAAACTTTGCAACGCTGCATTGCCTAAAATTATCGTATACTGATATAAATTTTACCATGAGTCTGCGAGTATCTCTTATTGTATATTTTATGTCTCAAATACTGCTACAATATACTAAACTATAAAAAATGGGTATTTTTAAAGGACAAGAATGTAATTTTTGCAACGTTGTACGTTAACGGCTCATCCAAAATTTGAAACATTTACTAAGGATTTTCTTATAATTTTTCAGTTACGCGTCATGTTTATTTGAAACTTACATTACTTGTTACTTACATTACTTTGAAATTGGCTTTTGGAAGACATTCTTCAAAAATATGAAGATTTTTAAGACTCAAACATGCAAACTTTGCAACGCTGTAGCTCCAAAACCAATGGCGTGGCGCGAATTACGATAGGTATATCGATTGTCATGCCATTTAAACCTATGAAAAAGGATCGATAGACAGGGCGTTCGCAGCGAACACCTTAATAATCGATTCTTTACCATAGCTTTAAATGGCATGAGAATCGATACATCGCAATTCACGCCACGCCACTGTCCAAAACCAAACGTATCCTCAAGCTAAAATTTTTACCGGAGGCTTGTCTCATCATAAGGTTTCATTTCGGTCACGTACGAATGAAATCCCCGGGTGTCAAAAATGGTCGCTTCTGACATAAGGACGTATCTCACTTTTCACATGAACCGCAGAAAGCATGGATTTGAATGTGACCCAGGGCTCACGAGGAAATTGAGATTCGCCCTTTCGTCAGAGGAGCGACGAAACGGGGCCACTCATTGGGAGGTTTTATAATCCATTTTCCTCCCTCAGTTATTCGTCGTTACCTCACACGAAAGAACATAACTACATTTGGATTACATTTTGCAATAAGGAACCACTATTTCTGACTCTTCCATGAAACCACCGTTCTGCACAGGGAAACCAATGGCATATACGTTGTTTCTAAAATGAGCCAGAAATAGTGGTTCCTTTTTGCAAAATGTGGTCAATTTCATTGTTGCCAGATTTCGCCTTGTAAATTTGAATTTGTAAAGGAAAATGTTAGGTATTAATTGTACATTTCACTGATCTCATGAAAAACGAAAATACATTTTGGATAAAGATTTCGTTTTCTCGTGTTTGTGAAAAATTGAATTCTTTGAATCAATTTGACAACCTTGGAATGGAGTTACGTTTCTTCGTCCGGGAAATGACAAAAAATGAAGCTGAATCCTGTCGTAGCGAATTCAGTGAATAGTTTATTCTGCAGAATCTTGGAAAAATAAGACAGTTTCAAGGCATTATGTTCCGTAGTTCTGCAGTATTACAGAAACAGAACATCAGGAAAAACTAAGCACCGTCAAATCGTCGCTCCTCTGACGTAAGGGCGTATCTAGATTTTTGCATAAGCCTTAGAAAGCATAGAGTTATACGGAGCACAGAGGTCACGTAAAAATCAAGTTACGCCCTTATGTCAGAGGAGCGACGAAATGTAGTTAAGTTGATTGTACCTGAAATCGCCCGAATGATGACAGCGGCGATGATCAGCGTTGAGGAAGAATGAGGGGCTTGTAGGACAAAGCGCGTAAGTGCAGTTTTTGCTACCTCGAGAAATATGTGTTTGAAGTTTTGAAATTACATGGATCCTTATGGCGGTAAGAAATTTCAAACTGACTTTTTGAAAGCTTAAAAATTGAAATTTGAGAGGGAATTTTTCACAAAATATGCACGCAGACTAGTTTTACTTGAAATCATTGAAATCTGAACTTTTTCCAAAACTGCACTTATGCGCCTTGTCCTCCAAGCCCCTCGAATATTTTAGCAGCCTATTTCAAAAATTGAAACTATTGACGGTAACCTATTCATTAGAAGTTGAGGTGATTCGCTGAACGCCATATTTTGTGCCAGAACGACATGCGAAGTATCGCGTCGATTAGTTTCATTTTTTCAGCTGCTCGTCATTTTTCTCGAATTTTGAGATCTCAATTCTGTTGTCAGGATACTAGAGCACTCGCTTACCAATTTTAACAATGAAATTCAACGCAATAAAGGCGTGGTTTTTTTAGAGAGAAAATATCGCATTCGAGTGCACTTTCGATATCAGTATCGAATGCGATGTTTTCTCTCTAAAAAAACCACGCCTTTGTTACGTTGAACTTCATTGTTAAAATTGGTAAGTAAGTGCTTTAGTCTCCTGACAACAGAATTGCGATCTCAAAATTGGAGTAAAATGACGAGTAGCTGAAAAAATCTGATGCGATATATCGCATGCCATTCTGACTCAAAATATGGCGTCCATCGAATCACCTTAAGTTGATTTTACCTAAAATCGCCTGAATGATGACAGCGGCGATGATCAGCGTTGAGGAAGAATGAGAGGCTCGTAGGACAAAGCGCGTAAGTGCAGTTTTTGCTACCTGGAGAAATATGTGTCTGAAGTCTCGAAATTACATGGATCCTTATGGCGGAAAGAAAGTTCAAACTCACTTTTTGGAGCTTAAAAATTGAAATTTGAGAGGGAATTTTTCACAAAATATGCACTAAGACTAGTTTTACTTGAAATCATTATCGAGAAACATGTATTTGAGGTCTCAAAATTACACGGATCCTTATGGCGGAAAGAAAGTTCAAACTGACTTTTTGAAGCTTAAAAATTGAAATTTGAGAGGGAATTTTTCACAAATATACACTTAGGCTAGTTTTACTGGAAATCATTAAAATCTCAACTTTCTCAAAAACTGCACTAATGCGCCTTGTCCTCCAAGCCCCTCAAAATTTTAGCAGCCCATTTCAAAAATTGAAATTATTGACAGTAACCGATTCATTAGAAGTTGAGGTGATTCAATGAACGCCATATTTTGTGCCAGAATGACATGCGAAATATCGCGTCAATTGGTTTCATTTTTTCAGCTACTTGTCATTTTGTTCGAATTTTGAGATCGCAATTCTGTTGTCAGGAGACTAAAGAATTCACCTACCAAATTTTGACAAACAAATTCATCGCAATGAAGTCGTGGGTTTTTTTTATGAGACAAAATATCGAATTCGAATGCAGTATTTTTCCTCTATTTTCCTCACGCCTTTAATACTTTGAATTTGTTCATCAAAATTGATAAGTGAATTATTTAGTCTCCTGACAATAGAATTGCGATCTCAAAATTCGAGAAAAATGACGCGTCGCCGGAAAAATGGAACTAATCGATGCTATATATCGCATGCCGTTCTGTCACAAAATATGGCGTTCATCAAATCACCTTAATTTTCGAAATAGGAGGAAGCTTGAGAGATCTTACCGTGAAGAAGCGATGATCTGCAAGGTCAGGAACAGCTCTGATGCGTAGGGTGAAGATTTCCATCCTCGTTCATCGCCTTCTCGAATGTTGGCTGCAAAGAAAAAAATTAATATAATTAATTGTCTAGTATATGGAACAGCTTAACAAATAAATTGAAATAATGTTGAAAAATAATGGAATAAAACCGCGTTTTTACCACAAAATTACAATATTCTCACATAATGTATTCAATAATAATCAATTTTCAACGATTAAACATTTTCATATCGACGACCTAAGGAGATTTGATGGACGTCATATTTAGTGTCAGAAAGGAATGCGATATATAGCATCCATTGGTTCCATTTTTTCAGCTACTCGTCATTCCTCTCCAATTTTGAGATCGCAATTCGGTTGTCAGGAGACTAAAGCACTCGCTTACCAATTTTAACAAAGAAATTCAACGTAATAAAGGCGTGGTTTTTTTAGAGAGAAGATATCACATTCGAGTGCAGTTTCGATATCAGTATCGAATGCGATGTTTTCTCTCTAAAAAAACCACGCCTTTAGTACGTTGAATTTCTTTGTTAAAATTGGTAAGTGAGTGCTTTAGTCTCCTGACATCGCGATCTCAAAATTGGAGAAAAATGACGAACACTGAAAAAATGGAACCAATTGATGCGATATATCGCATGCCGTTCTGACACAAAATATCGCGTCCATCGAATCATCTTAAGTGTAGAAACACGCGTTTCCGTCTGCTACTCAACAGATTTTCTGTCATACTCCATTTTTTCTCGGGGGAACTGGTCTACCTAATTTCTTTAAAACTTCCGTGATTTTTTTTCAATTTTTGCAGAATACTTTGAATAAATTTCAAGCTATGAAGTTTGCTTGTTTCTTTTCGAAAAAATAAAATAAAGGTGGAAATTTTATGACACCACAATAGAAATGCATGATTTTCCACTTTGGCCATCGATTTATGAAGAAGTTAGGTAATTCGCAATTGCAAAAAATTGCAACACATTTCAATACGCAGAATACCTCGATAACTCCACTGATTGTGAAAAAAATCTCGAGAAAATCAAAAGATTATCGCCCACAGGGATTCTTATATTAAATATCGATGGCCGAAGTGCGAAACCACCTATCTCCGTCTGCGACGTCCCGGACCTTCTGTTACACTTTATTTTTTCCTGGTAAAACTAGTCAACTTATTCCTTGAAAACTACCTCGATTTTTCCTTTCTTTTAGCAAAATATTCACTGGAAAGAAAACACATTGGATCTAGAGTCCAGACTCTCAAAAACATTGACAAGAAAAAATACTCTTGATTCAATCAAATCTAGCTTAGATCAAGAACCAAGCCTCTTAATTTGAGCGGATTTCGTTTTGATTCAAGCAAAAATCCGATTGAATCAAGAGTATTTTTCTTGTTAATGTTTTCAAGAGTCTTGACTCTAAATACAATGTGGTTTTTTTCCAGTGTTCTGTAAAGATATCAAGCCCAACAGTCGACTTGATTTTCCTCGATAAAATAAAATGGTAGCATATGTACATTTTACTGGAAATACGTGAATTCACACTTAAGTCATCGATATTAAATGTACCACACTTCTCTCGTAAAAAAAGAAAAAATGAAAAAAAAAAATCATTTTGTTGATGACATCAAGCGACTTACCGAATCAACGCTGAGGAATACACGTGAGCAAAGTGACTTCCGAAACGATATCCTCAAATCAAATTTCATAAAAACAATCACAGAATAAACACTTCCGAAAATTCGCACAATGACAAACGACACGAGTGACAAATAGTAACTCAACTTATTGTAAAACACGGCAAACTATTCCACTGGACAGAAAAAGTAGAGGCTCGCTGACGAAAACTTTCGGCGGATAGAAAACTTGCGGAAAGTAAGGCTGTTCAACTATTCACTGCACCTTCTATATTCACGAAATAATCACTGAGATAAATTTTAATAATGAAGTACCGAACACGAAAATAAAGTACCGAACACGAAAATAAAGTACCGAACACGAAACTAAAGTACCGAACACGAAACTAAAGTACCGAACACGAAACTAAAGTACCGAACACGAAACTACACTGATGGTAATACACTTGAAGCACACGACTATCACACGCGGTCCCGAGATGAATATATTTCCGATAAAATAAACTTCCGATTTAATTATCCTCCTATGGGTTGAGCTCAAGCCCTACGATTGCGCGACTTCGACTGACCAAAGTACCAGAAGTTCCGAACCCTCGAGGTCTCCAAAGTTTTCCTTGTTGTTCTCGAAAACAAAAGAGTGGCTTCGATTTCCAAAATATCCCTACATTTCGGGTTTCCCAGGTGAAAGGTCAGTGCAAGCTCACAAAAGAAAATGTCTTCATTGAACTGAAAACTAATCGGATGTATTTCTATCAAGCGGGACTATGTGCGTTAAGACATTAGCCCTGAGACCCATACGAATATGTCCATAACAGGGCTCACGTCATAATGCACGTAGTTCCGTTTGATAGAAATACGTCCAATTATTACAATAATTAATGAGGGTACCTGGATTTCCCGGATTAATTCATCTCTCACTTTTCACAACTTTCCTTTTTTTGCTGAAAAGTAGTGCGGGTTTGTCCATGAATTAAAGAAACCATTTTTCCCGACCTTTGACCTCTCCTTCTCGCTTTGTCCTAGATGTCACTTACCTCCACCCCCCCCCCCCGAAAAATTTTTTCATTACAAGCGTGCCTCCCTCTTTTGCGTAAGTGTGGGTCGTCACGAACCCTTGCCACGGGTGCATCACATATGAATTCGAGTGTTTAAATGACTCAAAAACAACATAAATCACATAGGAAAAATCTAGAATCCACTCCTCCTTCAAGGCATTTCTTGATTGTAATCGACTCGGCTTGAATTCTGCCGTGCTAAGGAAGGACGCTGCACGAAAATTCGAGAGTTGCCAAGTTTCCCCTAATAAAGCATGTATTTTTTACGACATCCATGCTTATTTTTCCTTTAAAATTTCAGATATTTAGATTAAATTGCGTGCAAAATCGTCTGAAAATTCGGGGGAAAATATTCACTATTTTCGCGGTAAATGGGTCTGTTGCGTTGGTCACAAAATCGTGGTTTTATGCATGATCCTTGTAGTAGATCAACTAAAAATAATAAGATCCGTCCAAACAGCAACTTGCTACGTTCAATATTAACCGAGATATCGCCCTTTGAAAAGTCTGGTTTTTGATGTCATCCATCGCGGTGGTGACACCCTTGGTTTTATTCACCTTGCTTTCACCCAAGTATCACGCTGAGTAAGCAGTGCATCACTGACTGATAAAAGCGAGGTGGAAGAAACCAAGGGTGTCACTACCAAAATCCGGCTTTTCAAAAGGCGATATCTCGGTTAATATTGAAGGTAGAGAGTTTGGATCGATCTTATTATTTTCAGCTGATCTACAAAAATCAAGCATCAAAACATGATTCTGTGACTATCGCAACTGACCCAATCGGGTTTTTGTCAAAAGAAACTTGGCAACGTCTGAAGGCGCATACGGCGTTCTTCCTTAGCACTACAGAATTAGACTCTAGGACTTGGATTTAATGTGCTATTGTCATGTTGCCTGGATTGAGCTTTGTGAAATCCTCTCGGACCCGAGCATCCGATGCGTCTCAATCAAGATGATCAGGATGCATTTCCCCGAAAGGGCAATTGCGCCGACACGAATGCTCGAATGCACGATGCGATGACCGCCTCGATGAACACGGAAAAAACAAGACTAGTGTTGAGCACTACTGGCCGTTTAGTGGGGAGTAGTTGAGGGGTGGCGTCTAAGCGCTGTACAGCTCAACACCGGAAGGCAGTACAGGTGGGCACTGAACATGAGTAGTGCTAATCAGATGCCGCGAGACGTAGTTGCGCTTAACAGGTGTAAATTCACCCACAAGGCGTCGGAGTCACGATAGCCAGGTGGTAACGCGCTGGTCTTCCACCGGCGCAATCCGAGTTCGAATCCAGGCGGAGGTGTTTCATATTTTACGCTCGCTCCAAAGTCACTTTAGGGCTTGACACTACTTCTTCCTTAGTGACCCAGCCTCGAGCTGTTTAGTGCCCAGCACTCCTCTGACTTGCTGGCTCCATTTGATCTAACCCTCGTTAGTGCCCAGCACTAACATGTAGGTCCCAACCCTAAACTCGTTTTTTCCGTGAAGAGATGCTTTCACCTATAGCCATTCATCTCATCCTCATCTCGTACGCAGCATCCTGGGCTCCCGCCTTGCCAGATCGTCATAGACGTCGACCGTCATTCCGTCGCTCCTTTGACGTATGGGCGTATAACAATTTCCGCATGAGTCTTGGAAGCATGGATTTGTATGGAAAATAAAGCTCACGTGGAAATTGAGATGTGTCTTTTCGTCGGAGGAGCGACGATTTGATGCGTGATAATGTCTTGATTCGTCGATCCTTTGATGGAGGTACGTAAGCTCGTTTCAAGGTTGGAAAATTAATCAAGGAATTCGATTTTTTATAGAAATATGACCGGCAATGGCCTGATCATTGCAATTGATCGACAAAGTTAAAGATAAAGAAGACTAAGAAAAAATATAGCGATCCTTTTGATTGAAACGGCCGATTATTGAAGACTGCGGTCCGCTGTCTAAGACAGGGAAAAAGTAGGATTCGCCAGGGAATGACAAAATGAACGTATTTCTACCAAACGGAACTACGTGCATTAAGACATGAGTCCTGAGACCCATAAGTGTATGCGCATTACAGGGCTCACGGCATAAATTAAAACGAATCAGGAGAATTTTGTAAAGTTTAGCGATTTTAACGACATCTTCCTGAATTTTTGTATATTTTGTACAAAAATAACTGTAGGTGAGCAGAAGTTACCCCGATCTTCAGTCTCCTCCTCGAAAAAATAATACCTCACCGGTTACTTCTAATTAGAGTCCCTTTATACCCAGAGTTAAGACAACTCGATTATCAGCTGACTGGCAGCCGGCCTTGGCTGGCCATGGAGGCCGAAACGAGTGCACCCAAACGAACGATATTGAGGGATAAGGATCAAGAATCCTGCGAAGTCTGTCACACAAAAACAACAACATCAACAAATTGATCAATTAAAAAGAAAATGAGATTGGTTTGTGAATAATTTCTTAATCTATTCTCATTTTGGACCTATGGAAATAACAATTTGAAAATGACAATTTACTCTTGATAAACCACAATTAGGTAATATTTTCATTATTCTTGTTCACATTCGAGGTACCGCCATCTTGGTGCACTCGTTTCGGCCTCCATGAGCGAGAACCAATCAGAATTGGATTTTTTTTTAGGCCACTTTCAGCCCAACCAGAGCCCAACCAAAAGTGAGTTGTCTTAACTCTGGGTATAAAGGGACTCTACTTCTAATCCAGTATAGTGGCACACAGCAACACCCATCGTTGCTCATAACACTATGAAAACCAAAACGCCTTCAATTTTTGGGTATGCAATACGGTCATCCGTCAAACACGAATAGTTGCATCTTGGCGTTGTGTATTACGAGACTGAGAATTCGAACGAAATTCGGAAAATTGTCGGTAGTTGTTGTTCCCACGAAGGGTGATTAATGATGGTTTATTTCTACATATTACTGAGACAACATTATTTGGATTGCATTTTGCAAAAACGAACCAAAAGCATTGCAGTATTGCTGAGATTGTGCAAATTCTTTTGTCTTGGAAGAAAACCCTGATTGTCTGTAAATAGTTTCCATTTTACACCCCAAAAACTGTAAATTCCAGACAAAAAATACCTTGTAAATTTTATATTTATGCATGATTTCAGTTCTGTTATTACAAAGAATGAAATCGCACAATCTTAGCAACATAGCAGTGATCTTGGTTCCGTTTTGCAAAATGCAGTCCATTTAGGGTCCTGCATCATGTAAATCGCATTTAGCAAAAAGGAACCAGCGCGACGGCAGTGTTTTCAAAATCGTGCAACTTCTTTCCTTTTAAAAATACTCAATATTGGTACAGCATTAGAATTTACACAATTATTTTCCTTTAAAATTGACCATTCTTTGGTGGGTTGCAAAAACTGTTCGGTTTTCCAAGAGATTTTTTAGATAATTATGAAGAAGCAACATTTTTACAATACACTGGAAAAAAAACACACCGGATCTAGAGTCTAGACTCTTGAAAACATTGACAAAAAAAAATTCTCTTGATTCAATCAGATTTAAGCTTAAATCAAAAGGAAATCCGCTCAAATTAAGAGGCTTGGTTCTTGATTTAAGCTTAAATCTGACTGAATCAAGAGTATTTTTTCTTGTCGATGTTTTTAAGAGTCTGGTCTCTAGATCCAATGTGTTTTTTTCCAGTGCACTGCAATCAAGCTGGTTCATTTTTGATAAATTCGATCCGTATGCACTCCTATCTACTACAGGGCACTATGCAGTCATTTATTACAACTGATACGTCTTTCTTTTCGAAATTCGAAGTGTATATATGACGATCATGCTATCCGAACGGTGCTTTCAACCTCTATAATTGACGATTTCTCAGATTTTAATCGTCGCCGGGAAAAAATACGTTAATAAACTTCAATGGAGACGTTGCATGTGTGAGGGATTTGCGATTTGACCGTAGATTATTATGTAAAAGTTCGCGAGAAACACGATGGTGCCACTGGTTTTCTCTGAAATCAACTCCCAAGCTCAAAAAAAGCTCTCAAGTTGGGGCCAAAATGGAGGGGATATCCCACCCTACCCTGAGAGTCCACGTCTACATCAAGACACACTCTCCATGCAAAGATAGGGAGCAAATATATTGACAGGGCTGCCACTTTATTTGGGGACTCCAAAACTGAAAACACGGCAACCCTGCTAATGTATTTGCTCCCTATCTTTGCATGGAGAGTTTGTCTTGATGTAGAGGTGGACTCTGAGAATAGCGTGGGATATCCCCTCCATTTTGGCCTCAACTTGCGAGCTTTTTTTGAGCTTGGGAGTTGATTTCAGAGAAAATCAGTGGTACCATCGTGTTTCTCGCGAACTTTTACGCAAGAATCAACAGACAAATCGCAAATTCCTCACACATGCAACATCTCAATTCGAAGTGTATATATGACGGTCATGCTATCCGAACGGCGCTTTCAACCTCTATAATTGACGAATTCTCAGATTTTAATTG